TTCTGATTCTGATTCCTGGTTGATGGGATAGGTGTTGTGAATGAAACGGTGCCCAGGTTTGAAAGAGCTCCTATGTGTCGCTAAATGTGTGCATTGATGACTGAAGGACATCTTCTGCTTCCATTTATATGTTTACTACAGTGCGTTGAATTCATGTTAATGTGTATTTAAAGACATTTTAATTAGTGCAAACAATTGCAGGAGGGAATATAAAAAAAAAGTAATCAACCAAGACTTTCGCGACCCCCATGCAGTACCTCCGCGGACCCCCTGTTGAAGACCTCTGCTCTAAAACGTGCCTTTAGCTGACAGGGAACCAACTTAGAGCAAGAATAATATCACAATTGTGAAAAAAATATGTGAACATTCTGCTTTTAAGATTAAAAAAATAAAAAAAATAAAAACATTTTTGCCAGTCAATATGCTGTATGGATAACTCCTAAAGTGGAAAAGTTTTAGTGTCACGTTTTATTTTGCAAAAATAACCACCAGATTATTCGATTTGCAAAAAAATTGTTAGTTGCAGAACTAATATTTACCAATAATAATTATCATCTAGGGTTGTCAAAATACTAAAAATGCAAACCTAATGTCTAAAAATAAATTGAACATTATTGATCTCACATTGGAGAAATTTATCTCTGCATTTAACCCATCCCCTTGGGGAGCAGTGGGCTGCCATTGTGCGGCGCCCGGGGAGCAGTGTGGGGTTAAGGATCTTGCTCAGGGACCCAGAGTGGCAGTCCAGGTGAGTGGGGAATCGAACTCCCAATCTCAGGATTCAAAGCCCTATGCCCTAACTACTAGGCCGCCACTTCCCGTATAGCCAGAAAATATTCATTAATCGATAACACTGATATTTAAAAAAAAAAAGCCAAATAATCTAAGGCAAAAAAATATATGTTATATATAATATAGTATACCAAAACCCAGCCAATACACCATTATACAGTAGCTGGAAGTTAGATAAGCGTTCAGAGAGAAGTTCTTAATAAGTTACGCATCAGTTTTGCACACGTTACTCATAGGTTTTGGATAAGTTAGACGCCACGACTTAAAGTAAGTTACACTTAACGTATGTCAACGATCAGGTAACTTACCTGTAACCTATGGCCCATGTATGAGCATACGCTGGCATACATCAGGAAATTTTAAGCCCCGCGTAATCATCATATGTCGACGTGTTTCAGCGAGCTCATAACTTATCCAACGTATGGCAGCGTTTTTGCCAGCTTTTTCGTGTGCGTCATGGTGAGGATGTGACAGTGGCTTTAGGAACTCGCCCCCCATATTTGTAAAATAATTCTGGTGAGAACCCTCTAGTATCGTGGTACCTCTGCATTCTAGTTTTAAATGTAGATGTAAATCCGTTTATTGTCCCACAATGGGGGAATTCTTTCTCTGCATTTAGCCCATTTTAAAAGTCCAAAAATAAAAAGGTTACATCAATGAAGGAAGAAATTTTGACAATGAGAAAAAAAAAAAAGAAAAACACATAAATAAATTACTGTAATCCTTCTAAACTAATTAATTTGCTTCCATGCTGCATAATTCCAGAGATCAGAGCCTCCTTTTTAAAATTTTACAAAGTGCCACAAAAACCACTACCTGAAGCATCTTCTACTAACACGCTGACGGAGCTCTTACCTGCCGTTTCCTAGAGTCACTTATTTCCTGTTCCTTCTCTCCTCATCAGGGACTTCTGCAAAGATTGTGGGACACTGCATCTGGTGGATAAGAAGGCAAAACAGCGGGGTTAGAGGGGGGGGTGGGCTAACGGAGGGGACTGAACACAAATATGAATACCTGACTAACTCTGTGACCCCAGCTGCCCCACCATAAGTGATAAAGCAACAGAATAGTGTTTCCTGACTCCTTACAGACACCTAACCCTTCCTGTTTACGAGGATAATGCTGGAAACGCCTTGAGAAATCAGTAGGAGATAAAGACAGCTTTGCATCTACATCCTGCTGTTAACTTTATGAATTAAACAGCTCAAACTGAAACCAGAAAAAAAAACAAAATCAATAGAATAAAAAGTGAAACTTTGTTGAAATGCAACACATTCAATGAAGATTTGTTGGAGAAATCTTTTCAAACAAGAGCCTTTTAATCATGGAGGCTATATGAAGACCCTGAAAGCAGGAACAGACCGAGGTGAAAGTGTGAGTCAAATCTAAAGGTGTTAAATTATTTCAGCAGTCCAAATGAAAGTCTGACAGCTGACCTGTGTTTAACTCAGGATCTGAGATATGTGACGAGCCGAACACTGAGAAGGAATGGGATAAGAAAGGCAAATGAAGCAGGAGAGAATATTATTTTTATTTTTGGAATTTTTAGAATTTTAATAACTTTAATGCTCAATTTAAATGAAGTCAGATAGAAAATAGATACTCATAGAAGCTGTTTTATTTTAGGAGATGCATGCAAATTACTCCAGCCCAACATTTTATGCATGCACAGTTAATACCAGGAGGTCCCAATGTAAGAACTAACAAGCATGAGGTCCTGCTCTTTCTCTGCTACCTCTGGCTTTTTATTCGCCTGCACTCATGTGCGGATCGGTTTTCTGTGCACCCATGTCAACTTTTGTCATTTGGAGGGTGGAACCAACAACAAAAAATCGACTGCTTGTGATTGGCTACTAAGCAACACTGTAACTTTTAGCCACTAGGGGCACTAGACTGGTAACTCCAGGTTTTCCCCCCTTTCCCTTTTCTACCCGTCTATTTCTCTGACACCCCTTTCAGAGACATGGACAGGTATCGGGTATTGCAGGCATTCCAGATGGGTGGACCAGTTTGTCTGGATCAATTTGCATGTTTTCTAAGCCAAAACAAGCTTTGTTTTTTGTCAACTCTATGAAACCTCGAACTCACGCTATTTCTGACATTTTGAATTGAAAAAGCTTCCTGGATGGGAAGCAAAACGTCTTCAATCTTGCAAATAAAGTCCTGAGGATTGGGTTTTTGTTTTGTTTTGGTTTATAAAACATGTTAATTGAAACGGAGGAATGGGTCCACCCCTTTGGAATGGGGTCATAGTCTGCAACACCTGTCTATGTGTTTGCAGTCCTGGCTGAACCAGTGGCGCCTACAGAAATGTTTTCTTAGAGGGGGCCAGATGGTAACCTGACTCCGCCAGATGGATTTGCTGGATTTGCTCCGCATATCCATCTGGAAACCTTCCGTTGAAGTAATTTTGGGAAGGGGCGAAAATACTGGTTAGCTGATTGGCCTATGTTGGTGATAGACGGGCCAAATAAACCAATCAGATCAACGAAGCATATGACGTACTAGCAGAGCGACAACGAAGAAGAGCCAATTGATAGATCAAACTCTTGCCGAAACCATTTGGGAGAAGAGCAAAAACATCTTTTCCTCTGAGAAAAGCCTCCAGAGCAGTGTTTTGCTCTTCTTTCAGTGAAGAAATACTCTGTAATTCCGATAAAACCTGCTGGATAGCCACGCTAACGCTAGTTTCATCGGCTGAAGCCGCCATGTTCTTTAGACTGAACTGTCGCGCTTCTCGTTGCGTCACACCTCAACCCGCCTCAAAGCCAACGCTGACTGGACGTTCGTTTGGTGAACGGCTCCAAATGTTCTTTAACGGAAAGTAGCCAGACTGATCTGCGAGTGAAACCTTGAAAGCTCGCGAGATCAGGATGGTCTCACGAGGCTAGCCAGATGGGGCCACTAAAAAATCTTGGTTTGGCCTACTGACACTAAAAGTCAGAATTTTCTACATGCCTGTAGAAATCATAAAGACATACTCATATCTTTGTTTATTGTATGATTTTTAATGTTACGTCGCTGGCTGTGCATAATGGGATGAATTGCTAAAGTGATGGTACTACAATTTACCCTGGCGATTGGGGTGGCCAGGGCATTGCACAGGGTGGCCTTGGCCACCCCTGATGGCGCAACTGGGCTGAACAGGCGAGGGTGGGGGTTGCGATGATAGTTGGAAGGAATAAACTCAGTCGCTGCATTGTAGGTTTTTCAAAGTTTCAATTTTAGTCCACCCCGTCTGTTTACTGTTGTTTTTTCTTTCTTAACAAAGATGGCTTCCTTCAAGCCCCTTTCAAACCACCTGTCTTCTTTGTCCAAAATGTGAACAGTCTGGTTCTCTTTCAAAAAAGATAACTTTTTTTTAGAAAACATGTTCTTTTCCTCGCTTAAAAGAATGGGAAACTACTGCTGGAGTCATGATGATTTTGGACACTGCCAACATGCTTTTTTTTTGTTTGTTTTGCATATAGAGAAGAACTGTTTACAATGCAATAAACCTGCAGCGTTCAGACTCTCCATGCCTGTTTGATATACGATGGCTATTGTTGTCTAATATAGCACAGGCTGTAAAAATTAAAGCGGTCAAATTAAATAAAGCCCCAGCATGCAGTTACAAAGCTAAAACAATTGTTTGGTAAACCATTGCTATAAAGCGAATATCTTTCTTTTCTCCTCTTTTATACTGTAGGTCGTATTAATTTACAGATGCTGACGCTTTTAGCAAGAGTGCTAATTCCAGCTAGCGTGAACCACGTTAAAGTTTGAGCTCAGTGAATGAGGTTAACAATTGGAGATAAAGTGAGATATCAACTGTTGACGGGTATGTGCTCATTAACACTTAAGAAGTCTTGGGTAACACTACCAACACCAGCTGCGCTGAAAACACTTTTAGAGTGTGAGATTCTGAAGTGGAAATACCACAAAGATTTAAATTTCTTACATCAATGAGGTATTCAAAAAGAGAGAAGAAGAAAATAAGATGTTAAAAGTTCAAAGAACAGGAAGTAGACAGACAGTTATAGTTTAAAACGAGGCGTCAGCGTGAAACACGAAGGCTAAAACCACAGCAGGAAATGGCCTTTTGTGCTTTTTTTTGCTAAGCTAATTGTGCTAATTACCAAGAAGCAGAAACAGATTGAAAAGTCGAGTCTCTCATCATTTTGCAAAATTACACAAACCTTGTTGCAGATTGTTGCGGTCACCTTTTCACATGGTGTGACATCATATCTGCTAAATATCTGAGCATTAAAGTGATTATAGAAAGGCTCCTGTAGTTATAGTAGATTAATAAATTTAACATGTTAATAAGTAGAAGAGAACGGGTCTTTGTTTTGCCCAATCAGACACATGCTATATTTACAACACTGATGCTAACCATTGGGGAGTGTTGGCCTAGTGGTTAGAGCAGTGCGCTTGTGCTCTTAGAAGGTTGCACGTACCCGGTTGAATCCCAACAGCCTCCACTCTGGGTCCCTGAGAAAGACCCTAAACCCCACACTGCTCCCGGGGCGCCACACAATGGCGGCCCACTGCTCCCCAAGGGGATGGGTTAAATGCAGAGCGTTAATTTCCCTTGTGGGACAATAAAGGGATTCATATTAAAATCCATTCTCAGTTAGACCCTCCTCCTCACCATCAGGACATAAGCCGAATTCAGGATCATCACCATACTGCCCTAATCTTCTGTATTAATTATAAAAATCGAGTTAAATTCAATTATTCTTTAGTTTACTTTGAAGCTAAATGGTTAGCATGTGCTAAGATCCGTGTCCAGCTACCACATGGTGTTCTGCCGAAGCTAAGAGGGCTGCTAGCCTTGTTTTAGCTGGAAAGCTACTCAAAATCCAGGGTAGTGCGGCTACAGAGCTGGATGATTCACCAGTCCTAATTCCTGGGGGTGCACATCACAGACAACCTCATCTGGACTCTAAACACCTCCTCATTGGTCAAAAGGGCACAGAGCGCATGTGGAGGATGAGGAGAGCCCACCTGCCCCCACCCATCCTCCCCACCTTCTCCAGAAGCACCATAGAGAGCGTTCTGAGCAGCTGTCTCACTGTGTGGTGTGGAGGCTGCAGCGCCTCAGACTGGAAGAAGGTGAGAACAGCATAGAGGATCATGAGGGCTCCTCTTCCCTCCATAAAAGACGTTTCATCCAATTGAATTCAATGCAGATCCAGCAGGTTCTGCAACAGCTTCTTCCCCACCGCCATCAGACTGATGAATGTTGAAAAAAACTCTAAATCATGTCAAAGACTCTGCATCACACCGATAAGAGAAAAACTAAATCCTGCCTATTTGTACCATAGATATTTAATGCTCTGAACTTCTATATCAGTGCGGTTTTTTGCACGTTTTTTTTTTTCTCCCACACTGTTTACATTTGATCACTGCTGCACTTTATTAAATGGAAATGTTCTGAAAGCTGTAAAAAAAACTACATTTTGTTTTGTATACAAAATGTCAATAAAAGTTGTATAAGTCAAAGTCATGATTCAGTTCTGGGTGCAGCGGCATTGAAAGCCTTTAGAGTGTGTGTGGGGGGGGGGGGACACTTTGGCTAGTGTAAAGTTTAGTTCTTAACCCTTTAAAGCCCGATCCAAGAATAAAACGAAACAGAAAATAACTTTTTTTTGGTTTGAAGTCCTTACTTGGCATTTTAACAAAATATGTAAAAAGAAAAACAGAAATACATTTTTCATATTAATAATTTATTACTATGCGATAAGTAAAGATTATTTTTTTGTGTAGTCTTCTGCCCTCTGTTATCAGGTATAGCCAAATATGTACAATAGGATTTTGAGCAAAGTTTTTACCATTAAATTATGCAAAAGGTGTCAGACGCAAAACATTTCAGAAACCGTATGTATCAAATATGATACATTTGGCATTATAGGGTTAAGTTTTATAAACAGCTGAAAATCTCAGAATAATA